CTGCCATAAATGTTAGCTATAATTCCACCTTAAATGAGAGCAGATTTGTGAACCTAAAATATCCGTAGTTCTGTTTTTGTGGCTTTATAGTCATAAGCAGGACTCCTCTGAAAATATTAATGCAAAGTGCATTAAAATGGGGAGGAAAGAAGACAGGGGCTTGGGTCAGGGAAGAGAACCTCTGCAGGCTGCCTCTGGGCTCTCCGAATGGAAAGGAGCGGGGTGATAGCACGACAGGGCCAGCCTGGAGCTTCTAGGGACATTCCATGCTCCATCGGAAGTGGGGAAGAGAAGCTAGGTTTTGTCTTTCCTGACCAGCTCCGAGAAGATGGGGTGGCGGCACAGTGGACAAGGCCGGTAGCACCCAGCTTGCGGAGGAGTCGCTCTCATCCCGCGGCCATAGGCTTCTGCCAGCACGCGGGGCCTGGACTGCTTCTCCCCGCCGGCCCCTCTCTAGCGGCTCTCTCGATAGCTGCCGAGCCCGACAGGCGGAGCTGGGCGGCTCCCTGGTTCTTTCCCCGAGCTTGCTGCCTCCGAACTGGATGAAGGACATTTAGCACGTATTGGCCACTGTTTATCCCTAAAACAGAGAAGGGCACTTCCCTCCTTCTGCAGATTCAAGAAGAAAACAATGCAACAACAGAAGTAGTATTTTAATGTTATTTCTATCCACAATCGAAAAAAAAAAAAAGTCTAAAAGGAAGTGGAGTATGATTTCCCTCCATAAGTCGTGGCAGGCCGTTAATGCCACCATGTCCAGCTCCTGCCTTTCGTCCTTCCATTTAGGAGAAGTCACACCAGGCAAGGGAAAGGGTCGCTTGCACAGATGCGGGGAGCCTCGGGTGCGGATGGCGGGTTTGAAGTCAATGTGGAGACTCCTCAGAGACTTTTAAAATTCCAGGTCCCCAGGTGAGATGTTCGGCTGCAGGTTTCGATTGAGGTATTGCATCGCCTGCTCCTGCTTCCCCAGCGTCTCCGCTCTGAACTCAAAGAGGGGATTTTGGGTCAAGATCGCGGAGCCTACCCCATCATAAACCTCGGTTTTCTCTCCTGTTTAAAAAAGGGGGGAGTTTTAAAATCTTTGCTCAGTTGAACCCACTGAGGAGGCTCCGGAAAGCCTAGAACGACGGGCGGAAGCTCCTTTCAGGCTCCAGAACCCGCGGCAAAGTGCGCGATTGTCTCCGGGGCGCCCCATTGTTGAGAGCGTTCGACGTGATTCCAGGGTTGCCATGGTGACCGGGAAACCCTGGGCCCTTGCGGAAACCATCACCAGAAACTTCTCCACCACAAACCTGTCGGTTGCACCCCACGGCGAGCCTCTGTCAGTTTCACCCCAGTGCTTTTCGGGTGTGATTTGGACAGACGAGCAAGACTCTGGGGACCTCACTTCTGTAATCTTTTGTTGGGGCTGCCCCCAAAGGCCAGAAACCCAGGACCAGGGGACCAGAGGACGCCGACTGGGGCGCTGGCAACCCGGGCTGAAGGGGAAGAAAAATTAGAGGTCTCGACCAAGCAATCGTTTTGGTGACGGATCCTTCCAGTTTGGGGTTTGGCTGCCCTCGTCAGCTGCACCCACCTCCCTTCACCTCCTCAAGGTCATTACTAGAGTTTTCACTCGAAGCTCCAGGTGGGGTGGCCACCTCCACTGGTGCCCACGCACGTGGGGCCTGTAGCTTCCCCTCCCACACATTTCTCCCCAAAAGAGAGGAGTGGGGGACACAGGGATTAGCTGTGTAGATTTAGCTGGGTATTCCAGCCACAATAAAACAGTGTTTTAGGTTCTCTTGATCCAGGTAGATGCAAGTCAGAAAGCTTGATCAAACCTTAGGTATTTCCAAAATCATTGTCCTGGCTCATTTTGGCCATAGCATGAATTTTGCATGAATCATTGAATTAATTTGCAAGATGTTAAGCTGAGCTTTCATGGGGGGCGGGGGGCATTATTCTCACAGTTGCCATCGCCTTTGTTTTCTTTGCCGTTCTGAGTTCTGAATCTCTGCAGTATGGACTTGGATAGGTACCCATGTCCCTTCTTAAATAAAGCACTTTATGAAACATCAGATCAAGTTCTGTCCAGTGGGGATGCCCTTCTCGGTGAGGCCGGGCTGGCTGGTAAGAGGTGGCCAAAACTGAGTCGCAGTTTCGACTTTGGTTTTGAATCCTGCCCTTTGAGTGAGCTTAACACGTGTGCATTTAATTTCCCTTTCTTTCTTGCTTTCTTTTCTCCCCCCCACCCCCACCCCCTGTTAGGGAACAAGAAAAATAGTCTGCTCTGTCGACAGCACGACACTGTTCCGTTTGCCAAAGAAAATTTGTCTTTCCAGAGCCCCAAGAGCAGCAGGCTCCCAAGTTTCCATCGCACCCTTCAGTTGAGGAAAGGGGGGTATCCAGACAGGTCCCCACCACCAGCTGCACCCCAGACCTGGAGGTATTATCCTATGTCTCTATCTTACAGGGTCAAAGCCCTGGAATTTCATATTTTTTTTCCCCACACTTTCTGGGGCCGCTAATGGTGTAGATGCGGTGACTACATCCGCAGGCTTTGTAACGAGTTCTGGGCTGCAGATATGGTTGGAGTTCTCAGCCCACGGAGGCTCTAGTTTCTCTCAGCGTAAGACCCTCACCCTTCCGCACTGGGGTCTTTCCAAATTGGAGGGGGCAAGAACAGCAGTTCTGTTACATCCAAGTGCCACTCACTGCCACCTTTCCTGCTTTTTGAGAGCGGGCAAAGCCCCAGCATTGGTATTCCTTCAGCTGGGCTTCTGGAAGGATGTTCTTGCTTCCATTCTCATTTCCTTACCCTGAACAGAGAAAAACATCTCACTCACCAAACTTTGAGAGTGGGGAGGAATATTTCCTAAGCACATAAAACAGCACTAACATGAATAAGGATATCAGCAATAATAATTCTTGATGAAAATATCGGAGGAGAATATTAGATATTCAATAGTAATAAACGCCAGTACTCTTCCCACATCCTTCCGGCCAAAGTGGGGAAACTAGGAGCCTTATAAAACATTGGAAAGGGGGTTACAGTGGTCCTGGAAAAAATATAAAAGAGCCAGATTTAACTAGGCGAGAGGCAAAGTGACCCCCTGAGAAACAGGGGAATTTCCCACCCTCAGACTGACCCTTTCTTTTGTAAAATGAGTTGGTCAAAGTTTAGTTTTGTCATCATTTCTATTGGTTTTTTAGTTCTTTTAAATTTTCCCAGCGCCATCCACTCTTCTCTTTACTTTTCTCCCCCAGTAGAGACCCGGGTCAGGCGGGGATACATCGGAAGAGAAACGGACGGGGGTGTCTTTTTAAGCGAGTTCTCTTCGAGAGGAAAGCAAGATGGTAGTTCTGGATGTGACTTTCTTAAAAAACGGAAGGAAAACGTGAAAAAAGAGATCCACAGCAATCGGCCCTTTGGTTTGGTTTTGGTTTTGACTTATACAACGGAAACCTCTGCTATCCTTTGCCGTTTTAAAACCAGGGTAGGAATTTTGCAAAAGGATGAACATACACTTCGAGAGAAAACAGGGCTGGGGGCAGATGGGGAAAGGATCCGTTCTCCGAGTGAAGGGAGGGGGGGTGCGCGTTACAGCCGGCTCCCGAGTTTACTGCCCACACGAGTAGGGGACAGAACGGGGATTCTCAGATCTAGTCGGGGTCTTCAGTTTATCCTGTCGGTATGAGGGCTCCGCAGCGTCTGGGAAAGCGGATCTGTGCAGCCGCGCTTGCAGAAGCCTTCGTGAGCCGGTCCAGGTGGCTGCAGGGCCCGCGTCCGGGATGCCAGAGGAGGAAGCCAGACGGAAAGAACCTCCGCGTTCACAGCTTCACCTTCGCCTTCCAGCCCCGGCGGAGCCTAGGCCTCCGTTTCCGGCCCACTTCAGCTCAGAGGTCAACTAGAAACTCATCTCACCAAACTTGGGTTAGGGCAATGGAGGTCGGGTTGCGCTCTTGGCATCTGGGAGCAAACGCTGCACCGAACGGTCTTCGGATATAGAGAAAGATAGTCATTAATCACTTGAGAAACGAAAGCGAAGCTCGGGGAAGCCCCTGAGGCCTGACCGAGAGGACGGATGCGGGTTCGGCTCGCTCGAAGCAGCAGGGTCTGCGGCCCGGCTGGCCCGGACGCCCGCGGCTGGCGATGGAAGCCACCGCCCGCTCTCCCCGCGGGCCTGACCTTGGCTCCTGAAGCTGCTCGGCCGACTGCGTTCCTGCACATTCCCTGCCGCTCCAGTCCCGGACCGACCGGGCCCGGAGCCAGGCCATGCTTCGGAAAGCCCTGGGGGCTGGGGACGCGGGAAACCCGGGATCGAAACCCGAAGCTGGGGTTAAGTCCAGATTCAGACGTCCGGCTCCCTCGAGGCCAGTGCTGGGAACTTACCCTTCTTGAAGGCCCGGCGCTCGCTGGCTCTGTGCTCCGCAGGCCTAACTCTTCTTTCCGTGCCGCCAGGGGCGTCTACGCGGTACGTTTCCGCAACTGAACTTAGTGGGTTTCCTGCTGCGCGCAAAAGCTTGAGCGCATCCACCCCCGGCCTGCTTAGAAATTATGCCCATTGATCAGACTAATCATCATCATCATCATTAATACAAAACAAAAAAAGAATGCCTTATTCCTCTGCGGGCCCCGGCGCTATCATTTTTCTTTTCAGAAATAGCCCCTCTTCGTCCCCACCCCCACCCCACCGCGCCACACCAGCCACTCGCACCCCGCCCCCGCCAGGCCATTCTGGGAGGAATTGCATCCCCGGACTTAGCTAAAGGAACCTTCGCAGAATGGCCTTTCTCTCAGCAAGAAACATTGCGGGCCACTCTTCCAAACGTCTCTGTCCTGTGTCCCCTCCGCGATAACTCAGTAATTTCTTCTATGCAGGTCTGCAAGCTGGCACCGAGTTATCGCGTCCCAAACACACCCAGGTAGAGAGGCGTCTCCATATTCATTTACCAAGAGCTTCTCCTCAGGAAAAAAAGAAAAATAGTTTTTAAATTATAAGAATCCCTTGCCTCCTCAAGAGACCTCCTCCCCCACCCCCCTCCCCGGCACAACTTGATTTCCTTCCAGTCGGGGGCAGAGGTGGTCTCCATGTAGCTTCCCTATGAGTTCCCGCCTCTCCTCCTCCCTAAGAAAATCGATCTTGGCTCTATTTGTGTCTTATGTTCGCCACCCCCATTTCCCCCAGAGAGCGCTGGGTTTGTTTATTTCTTTATTTATTCCCGGGGCCAAGGCATCCTGGACCTGTGGCTGTGCAGACCCGGGACTCATAGGCGAAGACGGAGAGAAATTAACCTCCCGCCGCTGCCCCCTAGTCAAGCGTGACAACGCGCGGGCTGGTTGCGTGACTCGTGACGTCTCCAAGTCCTATAGGTGCAGCGGCTGGTGAGATAGTCGGTATCGCCTAGTTGCCTCTTTATTTTATTGGGGTATGCCTGGTAATAAACAGTAATATTTAATTTGTCAGAGACCACAAACCAACTTCGAGCTGGGAGGTACGTGCTCCTCTTGACAGACGCTGGAAGAAGGCCTGGCCTAAAAGGGGTCTCTTTGGGGAATCCTTTACAAAATTTTCACCTAAACTCCCCTTCCCAGCGAGGCACCCCTCCTGGCTTCTGCGCTGGAAAAAAGAGGTGCGATTTTTGGAGGTGAGTGTCACCCTGGAGAACTAAGGGGTGGGGGTGAAATAGGTTTCTCTCCGCATTGTCCTGAACACCGGCCTCTGCTCCTCACCCAAACTCGGCTCTGCTGAACCCCTCTCCTTGCTTTGCTATTTTTCATGAGTGAAATAAGAATTCACTTTCTCACATTTTGCCTTCCTGTGTTACCCCGGCAAGAATGGATTCCCCCATGAGGCTTAAAAATCCTGATTTTGCCTGGTGTCCGGCACCATCTGCACTCCAGGAACTAAGTGAATCTGGCTGGACTATTACTTGGGGGAGTCTAGATTTTCCCTCTCCTGAGGGGCCTGCGGATTATTTATGGGAATTAATTTTATCCGCAAATCTCTGAGAACTTAAAGGGATTGGAGAGGTCTTTCTGGATTTCCCCTTCATTCTACCAGAGATGTGGGGATTGGACTCATCCCGGTGCTATGTTTGTCTTCCGCCTTCAGCCTGGGGTTGCCTTGTCAGTAAGCCCAAAGGCCTTTGAGCTGACATTTTGGAAGGGTGAGGGTGTTTTCACAAATAAATAAACTGCGTTGGCAAAGGTCTGTTTGAAAACAAACCTGGAAGGTGGAGTGAGAACTGCAGCAAACACGGGCTGGCTTTCTCCCTGGTTGCCCCACGTTTAGGGTTGGACACTCCACTTTGATATTTTGCAGAGATGCCTGCCTGGGAGTTTAGTGGAGCAGCCACTGAGGGTTACATCACTGTTGATCTCCAGGGCATTTCTTCTCCCTCTACATTGCTCTCTAGACCTTGGCCTGTAAGCCTAAGTGTCTAATTAGAGCTCCAGGAAAGAACAGGATGATGGGGCACAGGAGGTGGGGTGGGAAACAGAATGGGAACCCTGACATTTCTTCCAAGCACCAATACAAGGTGCCTCAATCTGGGTCTGCTCAGAATGAGACCTACTAACTGTGCTTACGCTTCTATTGACCTCTTCAACTCACCCTCAAAATAATACATTTCAGAGAGGGGAAGGGCAGGGAGAGAAGCCCAGTAGAGCTGAAAACCCCAGCCAGTCTCCAATCCCCAATGAGTGTTTGATTATTTTAATAAAACTGGGCACTGCTTTGTGTATGCCTGGAGCAGGGGACGTCTGGTGGCCCCAGTGCGTGGGGGTGGGGACCCACAGAGATTTCTTGGCATCTTTGATCTTGGCCCCCATCCCAATACACCTTCATTCTGCCTTCGCCCTAGAGCTGGAGTCGCTGAGAGTGGGGTGATGAGTGGGGGGAGGAGGAGAGATGTCAGGGCGGCCAGCGCCGGTTCCGCTGGGCCAGGCGGGGTCACGCAGCTCTCTGTCTCGAGGTCAGCGTTGCAGAGAGGATGCGGGCGAGGCTGCCGAGGCCCACGGCGCGTGTGTGTGCACGCGTCGTTTCTCTGCACGGCCGGCATCACCGAGATTACTTCCAGGGTAGAAGCAGACCGCATTTGCGATGATTTGTGCAGCAGTTTTTGCAGCCACCGCAGGCTCAGAGAAACAGAGATGGATGAAGTTGGGAAAGGGGTGGAGAGGAGGGGGTGATCGCAGGTCTAGGTTTGGGAGTCGCGTGTGATTTGAGTGTTCGGGAAATCTAGTGGAAAAGGTGGGGGGGCAGGGAGGAAAAGAGGAAGGGCGGGGGAAGGGGGAGAGAGAGAGAAAGAGAGAGAGAGATAGGCAGTGTGCGGTGAGAGTAAGTTGGATGGGCGATTTCAATACTTTGTAAGCATCGAGGCAACCCATCGTCACTGTGCTCAGCTGAGTTGGCGAGAGAGCGAGCGAGAGAGAGAGAGAGAGAGAGAGAGAGAGAGAGAGAGAGAGACTGACTCTTACCTCGATCCTCGATTTCGGGAACTTTAACCCTGAAAGTGGCGCTCAGAAAAGACTGCAACCATTCTCACTGCTTTCTCTTGTCTCCCAACTTGCTCTCCCTGGGGGTGCAAGGGAAGAGCGGGGCTCTGGGATTATATGGTTGTCGGTGCTCCCGGAGGCTGCTGTGTTTTGTTCTTTGGAACCCTTCTGGCGCCTGACAACTTGGAAGTATTTAGAGAGCGCGAGCGCAAAGCGGAGGAGGTGTGTGCTGGAGGTGGGCAGTCGCCGCCGCCGCTGCCGCCGCCGCCGCCGAGGCTCCAGCGGTGGGTGCTTCTTTGTAAGGCAGCAGTAGCCGCTACTCCGGGCGAGCAGCCCCCCGCGTAAACCCCGGAGCTACCATGCCTGCACCCCCGCCTCGCCGCCGGCTTCCCTGCTAGCAGCAAGAAGGGATGTGGTGAATGCACCGGCTTCACCAAGCGAGGTAATCATCCCTGCAGATGGCCCGGGAGGCTCGGGAGGGAGCCCTCTGGCCGAGTCGGCTCGGGGCGGCGCGCATGGCGGACTCCAGCCTTGCCTTGCATTCTGCAGAGCGCGGCTTGCAGATATTTTGCGCTGTCGGGAGCTCCCGGACGAGTGGAGCCCGAAAGGCGGCCTCGGCTGAGGGAGCGGCATTGAGGTTCTCAGGACGCGCGGCCTGGTTCTGTCAAACTGCATCTTGTTCGCCTCCGCCAGCCCTGAACTCCCCGGGATTCTGGCGAGGGCGCGGGGTGGGATTCCCTCCACCGCCGGCAGTGAATAGGAGCGCATGTGCGGGGCGCCAGCCCTGCTTTCTTTTGTTGTGAGCAGGCTGTGGGGCTCCGATCATTGCCTCCCCCAAACCCCAAGGGCGAGGTGAAGGAAGCTGTTAGGGAGTCGGGCCTCAGAAGCTGTTCTCCTCGGCCCAAGTTCTGGATCTCCGGTCGCTGCAGGGTGGAATCCAGCCTTTTGCTTAAGCAGCTGCTAAGATTTTGGAGGCCCTACCTTGCACCCCCTTCCCAAAGGCTTCCCGGGTTTCGAGAGGGGGTGGAATCCCTACTTGGGAACGTAGAGGCGATTGGAAGGAGATCAGAGAGCAGGAGGTAGTCTCATCCGGGCTTGAACAGTTCTGCAGCTGTTATTTTGCGTCTTCCAATCTCTAGGAGGCTGCAAACCTGGGCCATTCTACGTCGCAGTGCGGTGGAGCCGGACGTGCGATTCAATGTCGGTTGCCCAGGATTTATCAGGGACCTATTTTGTCGTCCTCAACCCCGAGCCTGGGCTTGTAGTTTCAGCGAGCCAGGCCCGGCTGAAGCTCGGAGAAGCTCCGCTCGGCCTGGCTGCCGAACACAATGCCCGCCCCGGGCTAGAGAGCCTGCAAAGCCGGGAGAATGCGCACGGCCGGCCGGCGGCAGAGCGCTGGCGGCGGGCACCCTGTCGCGCGTCTCCCTCCCAAATGCTGCGCGGCCGCTTTCCTCTTGGGCCTTCTGTTTGGCTACTTTTAATTTTTTAACGAGTCTTACCTAAGTTTAGGGGGAAAGAAGAGGACTTTTATGTTTAAAGCACTTTTAATTGTAAGGCCCGTGACAGATAAAAGTTGTACACGATTTTTCTTTTGAACCTGGTCTCTCAATCTGCACATCCTTCCCTCCTATGTTTCTGACTTTGCAAGAGGCGGGTTATTTCAGACATTTTGCCTGCTGCAGAAAACTATTCCTCTTGTGAGGTTTAATAAAAAGAGCTCTGATGGCCTCCTGTAAATTGATGGGAAAAAAATATTCTCAAAGAGACACACTGGATTTTTGTTTTGTTTTGTTTTTGGTTCTTACCCAATGGCTTCCAAAAATACCGACGCCTTATCTTTATTGGCTCTTCCAGAAGTCCAGACAAATTTGACGGGCAGCTCGCTTATCGCCCAGAGCCTGCGCAGGGGAGATGCGGGCCTCACCTCCTCCGGGTCTGATGCGGTCTTTTGCAAGAGATTGTGCGTGGTCATAAAGTAATAGTAATTACAATAATAATGGGACCTTGTGCAGCCTCCTTCAGCAGGGAACGGAGGTGCCGGTAGCTGGAAACTGGGGGCCAAACTGCTCTCCTGTCACTAAAACACTAAAACTACACTCTCTAATCTCTCTCTCTCTCTCTCTCTCTCTCTCTCTCTCTCTCTCTCTCTCTCTCTCTCTCTCTCTCTCTCTGCTTCTCGTCCTTAGAGCAGAACCTCGCGCGGCCACAGGGCCCTGGGTGCACCATGGCTGACGCAGAGGAGGGCTTTGGCCTGGCGCACCCGCCTCTGGAGCCTGACTCAAAAGACCTGCCCTGCGATTCAAAACAGGAGAGCGCACTAGGGGCTCCCAGCAAATCTCCGTCCTCCCCGCAGGCCGCCTTCACCCAGCAGGTAAGACCTCGTTCCTCTGGACCCTTTGCAAAGACCAAATCAGAAGTTTGGCTTCCCTGCTCAGCCTCTCCTGTGGGGGCACGGGGGAAAAAGCTCACTGCCGTATTGTCCCCTTTCCTTTTTATTCTTACCTAACTCCACCTTTCTCTTCCCTATCTCCCCAAATACCAGCATATTCCAATCAACCTTATTGTGACGATGATCTTTATAACTAGAGGATTTTTGAGATTTAAGTTGTTGGAGAAACCTCAATTATCCAGGTATTTGGGGTCAGCTAGCAATGGCCCAGATCATTCCTTTCCTGCTGTACTAGGTGTAGGATCGGTCCTGAGCTCCTTATTAAGGGCCGGGTCAGCGGCCGCTTCAGGCTGGCGTGAGCGATGGCTTGACCCCTCTTCAGATCTTCTGTAGCCTTCTCCTCTGCCCGCCTCTCCCGCGCCGCCGCCCAGACCCGTACGCTGCACCATTTGTCTTGCGGCCCTCGCCGGCCGCAGGGAGCGCACCGGCTGTGCCGGGAGGGCACAAGGAGCCGCGGGCTCGCCGGGCTAGAAGCTGGGCCCGAGCAGAGGGAGGAGCCTGCCTTGCTCTCTGCGCCCCGAACCTGGGAGCGTTGGGCGCTCAAGGAGGCCCTTGTAGACCCCGATGATTTTTAACTTGAGTGTCACATGGCGTGAAGCGGAGTGACGTGACCAGAAGAGATACTTGCACATAGCTAAAACCCTTTCTTGGAATTTCGATGTCCTATCTGGTTTTTTCATAGCCTCTCTCTTTTGTTTTCATGCTTCAGGAAAATGCGTGTATATTTGTACAGAAGCAAAGAAAGTGAGCACAGTTTGGGAAACTTGCAGAATTTTTATCTTTTAAGAAAAAACAAATTCCTTCTTTAGATGGTTACAAATTATTTCAAAACACAGACTTCGTGTATAATTTTTTTTACATCGGTTTTGTAAAATATCTTAGTTGAAGGCGGAAATGTTAAATGGCTTCAGCCGTGCCTCGTAATCATAATAACCAGAGGTGAATGGCGCTAGATGTGGGGAGGACCTGGAAGGTTTATCACAATGGACAATGAAAATTAACTTTTGTTCTGGATTGTGAAATAGAATTATAGAATTATAATATGAACATTTTTTATTTACTTATTTTTATTGGAACATAGTTGATTGTGCCTATCTGTGGAGTACAGCATTGAATATCAATACCTGTGTGCAATATTGATGTTCAAATCAGGATAATTAGTATACACATCAGTATACAATGTAATCATTTTCGTGTCCCTTTACCAATTGCTCCCTTCTCCCCTTTCCCACACTATAATATAAACATTTTTAAATTTAAAATTTTATGTATATTCATGTTTGCACCCGCCATGGTCAAGAATAAACACGCACATAGCCATTATTTGTACATCTGCATGTTTTGTGTGTGTTCATCTGGGTGTCTACATGTGAATATCCTGAGCGGGCCTTTCTGACTTGAGGGTTTTTTGTTTTTTTTTTTTAAACTATACCTCCACTAAGGTGGATTGAATTGTCCCCCCTTTTTTTTCAGTCTGGTCCCCTTCATAGTCATTCTGGAGCACACTGATGGTTGGTGATTATTCTCTAGCTTCGTGTTGGTGGCGTTAGAAAGAGATAGCACAGCACTGTGGGATCAAGTGGTTGTTGGAAATCTCCTCCCTACACAGGGATTCCTGGGCAGAGACTGTCCAGTGCCCCAGTGCTCAGATAACTCTGCAGTGGGCTGGGGAACTTTTCACGTTCTGAGCCCACTGGCTTCAGGGGAAGGAGGAGCAGTCTCTATTTGGGGGGAGTTTGGGAAAAGAATGCCCACTGGCACCAGAGCTTGTTGGTGTGACTTTTCTCTCCTTCCTGCAGGGCATGGAAGGAATCAAGGTGTTTCTCCATGAAAGAGAACTGTGGCTGAAATTCCATGAAGTGGGCACGGAAATGATCATAACCAAAGCTGGAAGGTGAGATGGTTAGTTGTGTAGAGGGAGCTCAGGGAAATTGTGGGAGAGACAAAGAAGAAAAGGTGGCTGGGGAGAGAAGGGCTGAGGGAGAAGAGAGAGGGGACAGAGAGAAAGAAGAAAATAGAATAAAGGAGTGGGGGAGGGTGGATAGGGGAGAAAGGAAGAGAGAATATATTCTGTCTGACCTGATTGTGGTTAAAGAGGTACAGGGAGAATTCTTTCATTGAGCTCCAGCAGGGTGGGGGAAATACCCGAAATGTCCAACTTCAGAAACTGGGCATTTCGTTCACTTCGTATATAGCAAGAATAAAGAGCTTGGGAGGCTGTGGGATCTGGACGAATTAGTAATGAGAGAAAGAGAGAAGAGGGAGGGGAAAGAAAGGCAGAACAGAGAAGTGAGGAGAAGACAGAGCTGAGAAGGGCTCTGGGTCTCTTAGGTTTTAGACTTGATTCTTCGCCCCCACCCCCACTCCCACCCTCCCTGACCTTGGAGTGGTTCCAGGGTCCCACCCGATTGCCCAAGTCTGAATCGCTGAATGTATTCGCTACCTCTTTCATTGTTTATAGAAAGTAGGCGAAGCCTTTGAAACTGAATCAGGGCTCGGCCGGGCTCTATATACAGACACCGATAAACACGGCAGCTTCGCCAAGACACTAACCCCGGAGTTCCTCTTAAAAGTTCGCAGAGTTTTAGCTAGCAGTGATAGAGCCATGGGGGAGGGGGCGGGACAGTCGTGCAGTCTGTGCAGCAGCGTGTGGGTGCGTGCGCTCGGCGTGCTCGCCCAGGCCTGGGGACATCCTCGCCACGTCCCTGCCCGTGCTGGATTCGTCCTCCGCGTCCCGAAGGGCAGAAAGCCCTGAGTCTGCCCGGAGCAGACGTGCGAAGCGGGAGAGGCCGGTAGGCCCCGACCCACCGTGTGTGAAGGGGGAGGGTAAAGCCGACTCTCCAGACGCCCCCAGTTCCCCAGCCGCAGCCTCCCGCAATAAACTGACAACAGTGACATTTATTATTATTTGAAATTAAACAATGTCTACTCCCCCGCTCGGCCCAAGGCCTGAGCGAGCTAGGAGGGGCTTTCTGTTTATACCAACGAACTGAGGTCCTCTTCCCATTCCGCCAAGGAAGGAAAGCCACGGCAGGGCTCCTTCTTCCCCCCAGCCTGAGCCGAGAGGATTTAACTATAAAAGGCCGACGAAGTCTCCTGCGCCTCCGCCTCCAGGCGCGCGCTCCGGCTGATAAACACCGTGAAGCTCCAGCTCCGTGGCTTGAAGGGCGAGGCCTCCATATACCCCTTCCCGCCTTCACTGAGCAAACCAAGATCCAGCAACGTGTCCTTTCGCCCCGGCCAGCCTCGAGAATCTTCGCTTTCTGGGGCATACCCCTCAGGAGATAGGATGAGAAGTTGGCGTGCGCCAGGGCGCGGAGAGGTAGCCGGTCCTGCGCGGATCCGTCGCATGGGCTTTCTAACGAGCCAACCGTAGTTCAGGCCCCAACTCTTTCTGAAACCAAGCGGGTTGTGTTTGGAACTTCTCTGCTGAGGGCCAAGAAGTTTAGACTCTCCAAGGAAGAGTGCCAAGTGCCTTGGAGAAGTTGTGGGGCATTTAGGAAAAAATTCCTGCTAGACACACGTGTCAGAGGTCACCAACCGAGTGTACTGGGACTGCAGTTTTCCTCCACCTCTGCGGGCAGAGGACCGAAGCCGGGACAGGAGGCCTGTGCACCCGACCTGCACCCGACGTGCACAGGTGTCCGCGTGACACGGCAGCGACGCAAAGATCTCCCAAGCACCCAGCTGGATGGAGAAGGCGGCCAGCTTTGTACCTAATAAGCCTCCTCTCCCCTCAAACGTAGGTGTCTGGCTTAGAAAAGAGTATTTAGCAAGAGGTGGAATGGGGTGTCCTTTTCAGGCCTTCTGCAAACTAGTTTCTAGATGCACAGTCTCCCGATATCCACCTCCCTCCTAGGTTACCTGCAGTTGTAGCCCTGCCGCTTTTTCTTCTTTTGCCTTCCTCCTCCCCTAACTTTGAGGGAAACCCGGGATGGATCTTGGTGAGAGCCGAGTGGGGCCAGTTTTCTCTTTTACATTTCTGATGGAATCTCTTCTTCTGTTAAAGTATGTGGAAATGCTCCCTCAGAATATTGGCATTAATTCTCTCTCTGTGTGTCCGTCTGTCCATCTCTCCTAGGAGGATGTTTCCCAGCTACAAAGTGAAGGTGACTGGTCTTAATCCCAAAACAAAGTACATTCTCCTCATGGATATTGTTCCTGCCGACGACCACAGATACAAGTTCGCGGATAATAAATGGTAGGTGCCCAAGTGGCAAATGGGGAGGGTGAAGCGGAATATGGACCCCCTCACCCTGCCTGTCCACCACAATTGAACTAATAAACTTTTTCTGAACTCCTACTGTGTGCAGGAGGCTTGTGTGTGCCTATTCCACTGCATCCTGCCCACCACCCTGAAACAGAGAAACAGCAGCCATTAGCCCCCATTTTATAGACGAGAAAACTGAGGCTTAGAGGAAATGAGGTGCCTATATCTATTGCCACACCCATGGGTTGTGGATTTTTAAAAAGGGTATTGTTAGCAAGTGCTGGAGGTATTTCTAGGGGCATAAAACCATTTACAGTTATTTTTTATGAGTTACCTGCTTTGAACACGCCTTTTTATGAAATTGCAAAAATGGCCCATGGTATTTAAGTTAAACAGGCAAGGGAGGAGAGGCCCATTCCTTGGGCAGGTTGCTGCCACAGCTACCACAGTGTGGAGGCTTGAAGAGGGAGCCCCCTTGGAAAGCCCTGACGGAGTTTTCAAGACTTTTTGCACATCTAGACTTCCAGAACCCGATGATTGGATGATTGTTCGTGGACAATGACAGGCTGGAGGCCTCAGGTGTCCCTGGCCTGGCACTGGGGGGGCGGGGGAGTGAGGTGGAAGAAGAAAGAGCTGGGCCAGGGGGCTGCCTGGAGACCAGCTCCAGGTGCTCTGGGGCACCTGGGATTGCAGATGCCTAAGGGAAGCCAGAGGATCAGGCCATTTCCAGACCATTCCTAGCTTGCACTCAGCAGCCTTTCCTGTGCGTGCATGGCCTCTGGTCACACCTCTCCTTGATCTAGGTCTGTGACCGGCAAAGCTGAGCCGGCCATGCCGGGCCGCCTCTACGTGCACCCGGACTCGCCGGCCACTGGGGCGCACTGGATGCGGCAGCTTGTGTCCTTCCAGAAACTCAAGCTCACTAACAACCATCTGGACCCATTTGGCCATGTAAGTGCCACGTCCTCGGGTCCAAGCCTTCTCTCTCTCTTGTCCTGTCTCTTCTCTTTCCCTTCCTCTCACTGCGTTACTCTCTCTTCTTGGCTCCTTGTGCCCACAACTTCTTTTCTTTGCCCTGTTTTGCCCCCCTTGGTCTCTTTCATCTCTACCTTCTTAATCCGGGCTTCCTTTTTCTTTTCCCTTTTCCCTTTCTCATCTTTTCTCTTTCCTTTCCTTTAATTTTTCTCTCATTTTTTAATTCAGTTTCCCCCTTGCTTTTTTTTTTTCTTTTACTTCTTCCTCTGTCTCCACCATCTCCAACTCAGATGTCTGCCCTCTGCGGTCCTCCCAGTGATCCGCTCTCCCCGGCTCTGAGCCTGCCTTTCCCTGGAGGCTGGAGGGAGGCTCCCAGTTCTCCTGGCTTGTGGCTGCATCCTGGCCACCAGCACCCAACCCCTCGGCCTTTGCTACAGGGTGGGGATTGAGGAAACTATAAAGCCGCTCATTCCAAGCATGGACACTGGGACCCGTGAACCCTGTCCATGCCTCAGTCCTGTCTGTAGTGAGGGGTGGGGGGCTGTGTTTCAGTTCTGCAGAAAACATGGACCCTCTAGCCCAGTGGTACCCAGTACCGACTGCACAAAGGCTGGACCATGGTGGGAACCATATACTTTCCCTATCCCCTTCTAAATCCTGCAATATTATTGCGATGTTGCAGGTAAGAAAGGGAGCCCAGGTCACCTGTCCCCTTTTTTACAGATGACGAACGAACCCCCTAAGAGGTGAACTCTGGTAACAATAGTGCCCCATTTTTGTTTCATACTCTTGGGCAGATGTGTTTTTTTCCAGCGTCCAGATTTCTCCCTCCTTCTACCATGCCCAGAGCAGGCAAACCTAGACCAGGGTCTTAAACCTGGAGTCTGAATTGGCCCCAAGAGAGGGCCTGGTAAATCCCCTGAAACTACATGTAGGATATTGAGTGTGTGGCCCCCACTGTCCGTGAAATGAGAATGTGCAGTTTTCAGTGGATTCCCAGAAGGTCTCATCCCTCTTCCCCGAAGAAAAACAAAAAACAAAACACCGATTTTTGGAAAAATGTCCCTAAATCTATTGGTTGGAAATAATTACTACAATAGAACCCAGTCTCTGAATTCAGGGTTCAGGATGTCTAGCTTGATAATTTCACCATACAAGTGTGCTTGTTCGTCTTAGGGCATTCGATCTCAGGGCAGGCTGGAGAGGAGGAAGGAACCTCGCAGCCTTTGTAAAGGGGAGTCCAGGGGAGGGGAAGTGACTTAGTCAAGTCATACAGCCTGTATTTGGGAACCGGGATTGAAACTAGGTCTCCCTAATTCCAAAAGTGGTTCCTTGTCCTTCCAGGCTGTCTCCCCAGAGAGAAATAACAGACAGATACATGATCCTTAGCTTAGGGAAAGAAGGGGGCTGGGTAGGAATGGATTTGGCTAAGAGGGAGGACAGTTTTTGAAGGTTCCCATGAGAAACGTGCTCCTTAGGGCTGAAACGCCAAACCTGCTAGGATGTGAGGTGGGGAGAGCACCTCAGGACCACGCTTTGACGGCTTACTGCTGCTCTCTACATCTAGGTGGGGAGGAGATGGTACCGCTGGCCAGAGGGAAGACAGTCCCAGTCCCTTTCCGTGCTACTGGGAGGGCGCAGAAGGGTGCAGAGGCCTTTCTAGGGAAAACGCAGAGCCCCCTTTAGGTTTAAACCACGGTGTTTTTCCCGCAGCGTCCTTCGTGTTGGTGCTTCTCAGGTAGAAATGATCCCGAGCTTTCGTGGGCGCGGGCTGACCTGCGCTTGGTGTGTATCTGCCGGTCCTGAACAGCTACTTTAGGTTTAAGCACCAGGGAGAAACTGGGCAATTTGTAAAGGTCCCGCATGCATGTCCCGGGCTGGCCTCCTGGAGGCTGGGACCCTCTTGTGTGCCCGTCCCCGTGGAAGCTTGGTGCTGAGAAGTGGGACTAATCCCCAGCCCCATAACCTCCTCCGGATGTGCCTTTGGGGTCGCTCTGGAGTGGACGCCCGGGGAAGGTGCACAACTCCGCCACCAAGTTCGGGGCACCCCGGCGAGTTTCAGGTCGAGCCCGGCGAGGCGGAGGGTGCTCTGAGCTGCTCCTAACTCCCCCACTGCCGGGCGCTCCCACCCCAAACTCTGGACTTTTCATTCAGAGCCGCCCTAATGAAATTAGGAGCCATTAGATCGCCCTCGCGCTGATGTCTCCACACTGTCCCCGGCCGTCAAAGCAATTTGGCTAAGCCGGGACGATGGCCGCGCCGGCCGGCCGGGGGCTGTGGCGGCCGGCGGGGCCCCGCTGCGTCTCTCTGTCGCCACGCCGTCCCGGTCGGCGTCGCTGTCCGCCGGGCCACGGCGGCCGCAGATTAGAGCCGCGCGGCCCGGGGTCGGGGAGCAGCA